GCAACTACTAAAATAGAGATTAAGAACAGTGAGTAATAATGTAATTTCTATCACAGAACTTACAAAATTGCATCCAACATTTTCTTTGACGAGAGATGGGCGCGAGTGTCATTTCATTTCTTTAGAACTAAATTAACTTAATTATTTTCTCGTTATTTAACCTGTTCACATGATTTATGGATTTTAAATAAAGGGTACAAATCTTCGCGAGGATAATACGATATATTTGCTATACATAATAATTATATTTTGCATAGTTTATACACAATACATTTTTGAACGCGTACACATCTCTACCAAAATTTGACCTATTCTTCGGGTTAAAGACACACATTGTCCGCTCTCTACCTATTATGAATTCTCTTCGAAACACGGGTGAATTTCGAACAAAAAGCGCTTCTTACCTCCGAGGAACTTTAAGTTTTATTTTAACGGTTTTGCTTCTATTAGTTATTTCCACGTACAAGGAACCAATCAGGGGGTGGATCAACAATTTTTATGGTGCCACGGGTGTATTCTACGGTTCAGGTGTGGGCCTGCTAAGGGTCCTCTACTGCGACGAGGAGTCCGTCGCTAATATCGTGCCAGTTGACATGTGCGTCAATGGTCTGATAGCTTCCGCTTGGGATGTGGGACAAAGGTTCGACAAAGCCAAAGAGGAGGGTGGAGAGTATGAAATGCCAGTTTATAATTACGAGAGCACCAACGATAAGGTACGAAAAAGTCGATTATAAACTCACACTAATTGTAAGTAACAGAACAAATAATTTATTTGCAACTAAGTGACAATGTACACCCTCTACATGTTAGTGCTGAGACTGGCATTGGATTACACCCGCAAAATCTAGGCAACACTAACATAATTCGTCGGTAGAACCACCGGACATATACCGGTGATTCTACTGACGAATGATCTCAGCTTATAATACTTCTTCGTTTCAGCCAATCAATTGGAAAAACTTTATGGACATATCGAGTAAATACGGTTTACAGTTCCCACCAGTTGGTTGCATATGGGTGTTTTTTTTATATCTGGTAAAGTCATACTTCAGGTACATAGTACTGGTGATCTTCTTGCATTTTATACCTTGTATGCTTGTGGACGCCATGCTGTTCTTTAGGGGGAAGAAGATGAGGTAAAAGATTTAATTATTATTAAAATATAATGACGTCGCAAAGCGGTGTTGCCGGTTTTAAATTTTTTCGACTCTATATGTTATGGACCAGGTGATTAATGCGGGCATTATTAATAATGTGCGAGCATTATGAATAATGTCTAGCTCTATCGGGCTAAGTGATTAATTACTATCTAAACTTCATTATTTATCACATTGCACGGTCATTATTATATTGCTACGTGACAATTGGGCAATTTGATAAAAAAGCTAAATTTGACACTTTGCGGGGAGAGAAGCACGCGTGGCACGCTTTGACCAATCAGAAAGTGCTGAAAACTATCAGATGCTAATTACGCCAAATAATGAGTCTGATTGCTTAAACTTTAGTTTATTTTATGTTTTATAATAATATGTCAAAACTTCTATAAAACAAAGATATGTTGTGGATTGTTTGTTTTAAATTTTATATGTTTTGTGTTACCTATATTTTTAATATGAGTTTCCTTATGTTTTAAATGCAGAAACTAGTGGATTCTTAATGTAGAAGTCCTTGCTAATTAATCCAAATAATGAGTCTGATTATTTAAATTGTTTAACATTTAATCAATTTCAATAAAACATAGAGCGTCCTATTAAAAAAAAATGTCGGTAATGTTATAGGTCCGTCAAACATGCTCAAAAAAATAGAAAATATTGCTGAAAAGCGACAATTTCTATTTACTAATTGACCTGTATCAGCGATTTTTTAAAATCAGAACTGGAAAAAACTATGAATTTTGTTGCATCAGTTTGAGACACACACCATACCAAAAGGTCATTTTTTAAAATCAAATATAAATGCACTATTGTAGATAAAGTAATGTGCACAATATAAAGTAATAATGCACACACTACTACACACATAAAAATAATTGTTTAATTCAATGCAGTAAAATTTAAACTAAACAAATAATATCTTCCCATATCCGCAATGCAAACATGTATTTGAACGAAGAATATTATTTCTTTAAAATATTTATTTCAATTAAATAATAAACGCTTCACATGAAAAATATTTATGTATTGAAATAATGTAGTACATATTGTTGACTCAAATTTTTCATTGGTTTAGAGAAAACATTTGTAATTTTATTTTAAAAATACTATAAAATTAATATAACATTACATTTGTTCTAACAAAACAAAATATATGTTTGAAAGAAAATTATTGTTTTTTAAATATAAATAAATGGTTTTATTTGATATGAGACTATAACTTTCCTGAATTAAATAAAATAGTTCTTTGGAATAAAAATTTGGAACTTTTTTAGGAAAGATAGGGTAAGGTTAAAATAAAAGTATGAGTATGTTTGAATGGAATGTATTTTTTCTTAAATAAACGTATACACAAAACATTACAAATATAAGAAATAATTTTAAGAATTAATGTTCCTTAGCTGTTTATGTATAAAATAACATTCACAAAAATATAAATAATTTTTCCGAGACAGTGTGAAATACGGTAGGTTTAACTGTTCCTAAAGTTTTAATGTCTACCGTTACAAAATTTTCAGAGATCTTCACAGAATAAGCACTATGATGCAAATCATAATTTAAGGTAATTAATAAATAGAAATGAAAACAAATTATTGTATTGTTGTCTTCATTAATAATGATGTTTTCTATTATACCGAAAGAAGGATTAGGATACCTAATAAAACACAAGACTTGATTTTGTAAAAAATACCATTAATTTTTAACCATGGCACGCAAAAACTTGAAGATGAAATTTCTGAATTAGATGGAAGGATAACGTCTCCTTTTATTAAATTTTGAATTGGTCCATGTTCAAACGTGTCTATTAGTCCTTTTGTGATAAAATTCTATACGATAATTTAAGCTGCGTCCGCATACAAAGTGAAAAATGTACATTTTTTCTACATGTAATAAGGGTAGCTAAATATTTTAAATCTTTATGTTTTACTTCGTATCTAATGGAGCTAACATGTATTACAGGTCCAATTTTCTTTATTATATTTGGGTAGTGAAGCAAAAAATTAAATTTAGGCTTTAAATTTTCTTTAAATAGTTTTAAACACATTAGGTGATGGTCTTCAATAAGACATTTTAAAAAATCAATGGATTCATCATTAAAGATAGACAAAAATAACATTTCGGTTATTTCTAATAAAATTAAGTATAGTATCCATGTTTTATCATTTTCTGGAACTAAATCTCTAATAATTAAATGAAAATTTAAAACTAAGGAAAGCATGAAGATGACAGTAATATAACCGTTTCTAATTTGTTCATGCATACTTAATGTTTGGAGGAATGTTTTTATTTATACATATAAGAGTTATACTTAATTCGAGCATTTAGTAATGTAGCTTAATGTAAAATAGTTATTAGTTAATAAATTGTTAATAATTTTCGCCATTTCATAACGATGGATTCCTTCGAAAAGGTTATGCATTAAATCACAACTAATATTTTTATATATGTGAAAGTCATCCAGTTCAATGAAAATGCAATTTTCCTTAACACCATAATCAGAAGCAGTTAAATGTTCTAAGTAGTCTTGTTCTTGTCTAAGACTACATTACACACTCCTACGATGTATTACACAGTACAGTACACCACAGACTATACACCATACACACTCACACTACACTGCAAGTTATAAAACACATACGAGACGAGTAACTGCATGTGGTAGAAGTTAAAAGTCTAAATGCCTTTGGCTGTCGCTGAAAGTTAATCCACGCTTTTCGCCGTAGTTTTAAAAATATGATAGTTTTGAATTAAAACAATATACTAAAATCAACTATACCACATCTTTAAATGCAGTTTATCTGAAAATTTAACGATATGATAGTTTTATGTCAATAAATTCTATTATTCCTTTGATAAAATAAGTGTTTTAATTTGGACTTATGATTTATTTGTTTTAAATAAGTTCATTTAAATTAAAATAACCAAAATGTAGATGCAACCTTAAAACATGATTGTTTTAAAGAAATTGATTTGTTTTACTTTATAATTTACTATGTTTTAATACATTATATCATATGTTTAAATTGAGGATGTATCTTTGATTCTAATACATTTTCTAAACATAAAATAGAATTGTTCCAAATACATGAGTAATACTGAAATAAAGATATATGATCAAATTAAATAAATATTTCTTCATAAGAAACAATTGCTTTTAAAGAAATTTGTAGTTTATTATTAAAGATACCTTTTTATGTGTGTATGTTTCTTGATCTGCAGGATGATGAAGGCATATAAAAAAATTCACACCTTCTCGTCATTAATGGCGTACTTTTGTGTAAGGAGTTTTAAGTTTCATTCCGCAAACGTCCATAAGATGTTAGATGGAATGACGAAGAAGGACAGAGGAGTATTCTTTTGCGACCTTAGAGAACTGGACTGGGACGAATTTTTCCAAACTTACGGTATCGGAGCTCGGGTCTATCTGGCTAAAGATCCTTTAGACACCATTCCAAAGGGAAGGAAATTCTACAGAAGGTAAAAAAATATCACAAATGATCTTTGACAAACATATTGACCTGTAAAAAATATATACTCGTATATAAAACTAAAAAACTACTACACTTCATTTTTGTATAGTTTGTATGCAAAATTCTTATATGTACCTATTTATTTCTATATCTGTTATACAGGGTGTAACTTTGAAAGGGAGTAATTGCAACATGTGAACTGAGTTTTTCTTTAACCCTTTTATTAGTAATTTTCATTCCCCGCCGCTGGACAAGCTAGTGTAACCTCAAACAACAGCGCACGCTAGCTGCGAACGCATATATGTCTTTCTAACAAATCACTGAAAGTTTACAATAAGTGGTTTTACTTCGACTGACATTGTTGCTACTTCCGGAGTACCTCAGGGTTCAGTTCTTGGCCCGCTATTATTCAGTATGCTCATAAATGATATTTGTGATCATCTTCTATTTAATGTTCTCTTAAATGCAGATGACTTCAGCTGTTTATCTCATTGTATTTGTTGATGACTGTATCGTGCATCAAAAAGGTTTGTAAACAGTGAATATTGGTGTCGAAATAAACTGTCACTGAACGTATCAAAATGTTGTATTGTGACATACACAAGAAAACTTAGATCCATTGTTTACGAGTAATATAGGTACAGAAAATGTGTCACTCGCGAGTTTAATACACTGGTGTCTTTTTATCACTGTCTTTTGGCTTGACTCGCACACTTATTATTTGTGACTCTCCTGAGGGGAGCCAATTTGGGAACTTTAAGGGCTTGTAGCGTGATACCACCTTAAAATGCCTGGTATGGAAGCTTTAAGAGCTTGCTCAGAGACCCCTGGACGAGCTACGAGAGCTGTGAGATCTCGTAAAATTATTGAGAGAAATTTTTAACTCAGAATTCTTAAAATTGTGAGATTTATTGGAAGCAAAAATTTGAAGCCTACAAAGTACTCGGGTGGACGTTCGGACACATCCAGGCTGTGTCCGGCTGATTTCGAGTAAAATTTAAAAAAAAGCCTGTCGCTTGCGGGCATAATCATCCCTGTATCTCCCTTGGTACATAAATAACTATTTCAGCCTTGTAACCTGATGATGAGGTGTAATTTTGACCTCGAAACTAGTCGTATGTAATCAATATCTACAATAAAGGATTGTGAGAGTTAGAATAAGACTTGTATATTCCCACTGGTAATATGGGCTCATATTTATCTATTTCAAGTTTGTTTGTTTCTTTCAGGTTACAGTGGGCTCACAATACTGTGAAAACCGTCTTAGGACTGTTAGGAGTAACGATACTATGGCTGATCATGTCCGGAATCTACAAACTCATTTTTCTTGGTTAATTAAGTCCGTATTGTTTGCTGTATCTATAAAAAAAATATACGTAATAGTTTCAGCTATACGACCTTTTTTTTATCCTAAGCATCAACAAATATTTAGTTTGCTATAAATATCTAATCAGAAGAACATTATTTGAATTCATTTGGTACAATTTTTTAGAAAAAAATGTCGATTTTATTTGACTGTTTATTAGATCTGCACAATGTATTTATTTAACAGTACTATATGAAGATAGACCTATAATTTTTACTAACTATTTACATAGTTGTACTCCTGTTTGTTATAACAATTATCGCCCACGTGATAAAGCTGTATTTCATGAAATGAAACAGTTTTACCCAAGTTCTCACGATTTATATGTTTCAAGATGATTTGCAGACAATTGTTAGGTTTGTTAGCATCTTTCGTCTTAATTTTATGCAATGACGATCACCACGGCATCTCAAAGAGGGCGCTGCTGTTCCCAAGGGCTACTATTCTCCAGGTGAGTATGTTTCCAGTAAACAGTATTGCTTAATCGCACAAAACAACAAGTTGATCCTAAAAAGTTTAAGACTACTACCATTTACTCCGATTTCAGTTTGCGAATACCCTATTTCAGTTCACAGCTAAGCAACCATCAGAAAATAGAACGAAAACCTGTTTTATACAGGGTGTTTTTTAATAACGTGCTAATATTTAAAGAGGTTATTCTTGGGTCCATTTTAAGAAAGAAACTTCATATGGACATATGTCCTAAAAGTCTTAACTTTTGAACTACAGGGTGCTAAAGTTTTATGAAAAAACATTTTTTTTATGGTAACTTTGGTATTACCCTAGATATATTTTTTTTAAATTTGGTACACGCTTTCTATTCATCAAGATGCATTTAATGATGTACAAACAATTTTATTATTTTTGCCAGTGGCGTCTGTACAGGAATTATATTGAATATTTTTGAAGAAAAATATGTTACGCCGCTGCTTTTTCTTAAAGTAAAAATCATTTTTGAAATCCTCGTTTTTTTATATGATATTTGTTCCTTCGTCCGAGATACAGAACGTACTATTACTGTTATATATTGTTTTTTAGTTTAACTACGGACTTTCAGTGCCTCTAGTTCTTCCAAGACGTTCCATCCTGATCAGTGTAGTGGCCCAGGCTAATTATAACCTCCCATACAACATTTCAAACTTCACTCCGATGACAGTAGCTGCCAGAGACGAAAGTTTCCTAGACATCACCAGGAGAAAGTTCTACAAATACATAATCGAGTATTTAGACAGGTAATTGATTTTTTCACAAGTGTAGCCCTGGATTGGGAATTCACCCTGTATATCAATCGAAATGTTATCCGTTTCAGTTTTGGTTTAGATGGAGAGGAGTGTCTATTAAGGTCGATTTGTGAGGTAGCAGAAGTACCGATGCATACGAAAGATGCAGAAAATTTGCTTGAAAGAATCCTCCATTTTGTCTTCACGTAAGTAAATAAATCCGGACGAATTAAACCAAACACATACCTGTTTCAAAAATCGGGCCTACATCGAATTTTATGGGCTTAAAATTAAGTAAGAAATATACAGAATAGAAGCCTAAATTTGTGTATTTTAGAGGTCGAGTGTCATATTGTTTATAACAAAAGAAAACATAATAATTGCTCTTTTTTCACTTTTTCGCTTATATCTCCGTAAACAAGTCTCTAATCGACATGAGGTATATTTATCGATTTTGTTCCTGAGGAAATTTGCTACAAGAACAGGCTTTTCGAAAGCTCGCAATTTTTTTTTTACATTGCAAAATTAGCGGTGAAAAAAAAATGTGCAAAATTTTCAGCATTAAATAAAAACAACGAATTTGACTGAAATTGGATGAAACTACAGGAAAAGATAACTGCTGAGGTGCTCAACAAATACCCGCAATCCTTTGTAGGTTCCCCCTCCACTGACTCACAGTCATCTTGTATCGAAGTCATTATTTGGAGCATTCTCAGAGATGCTGTTACAACGCTATCGTCCTCAAAAATTTCACATAGAAACTTTAGCTCTTTATCTTCGAAATGGCACTTATTAGAAGTCTTAATTGTTATAAACAAAGTAGCTGTGATTTTTTAAAGAAAAGTGTCTAACTTTGCCCCAAATTAAGTTAGAGCAACTTTTTTTTTTAAATTTGTATAAAAATACCAGCTTTACGAATATAGAAAAATAATCTCTCTAAATACAGGGTGTCTCATAATTAGCTGCCAACCCTGAACAGGCCGATTCTATGATCAAAACTAAGTAAAAAAGTTCATATGAACATGGGTCCGGAAATGCTTCCTAAGGGCACAGGGACCCATTGAAGAGGGAGGAATGGAAATCATTTTTTTGCAATATCTCTCAATCGCGTTGTGATAAATGAATTAAATTTGGTATACACAGCTAAATTTTGATGAGCAATTTGATGGACTAATCCATTTATTTCCACAAGGTCCATTGGGGTGGGTACGGGGGGGCCCTTGGTACTTTGCGTGTGTAACTTTTTCATCTTTGACTTTTTAACAAATTGGACAGCAAATTCCGTTTTCCCGAACTGTTTTACGTTAAAAAGGTACTCTTGTTTCAAATCGTTATCTTTAACGGTTTCTGAGAAAATCGCTCTTGAATTAATCCCACTTTGGTCAATTTCATAGTAATTTAAACAAAAAAAATTTTTTTGTTTAAATTTAATCTAATTTTAATAAAAAAATAATAATAAAAAATTAAATTAAATAAAAATTAATCCTTTAAATGGAAAAGAGAGGAAAGGAAAATTATTATTATTATTTTTTGTTTAAATTACTATGAAATTGACCAAAGTGGGATTAATTCAAGAGCGATTTTCTCAGAAACCGTTAAAGATAACGATTTGAAACAAGAGTACCTTTTTAACGTAAAACAGTTCGGGAAAACGGAATTTGCTGTCCAATTTGTTAAAAAGTCAAAGATGAAAAAGTTACACACGCAAAGTACCAAGGGCCCCCCCGTACCCACCCCAATGGACCTTGTGGAAATAAATGGATTAGTCCATCAAATTGCTCATCAAAATTTAGCTGTGTATACCAAATTTCATTCAGTTATCACAACGCGATTGAGAGATATTGCAAAAAAATGATTTCCATTCCTTCCTCTTCAATGGGTCCCTGTGCCCTTAGGAAGCATTTCCGGATCCATGTTCATATGAATTTTTTTACTTAGTTTTGATCATAGAATCGGCCTGTTCAGGGTTGGCAGCTAATTATGTGACCCCCTGTATAATAGCAACAAATTTATTCTAATTGTTTATCAGACAAAAATGACAGTGTTTTGTGGTACGTTTTAGCAGTGGTAAAAAACAATTTTTTTGCAGTAAAATAATTTCTTCCAATAAAAGATGTCTCTCTCTTTCATATGACACCCGCAGAATTAAAATATCTTGGTAATTTTGCGTGTCAAGTTATTGCAAAAATAATGCCTCTGGGATAAACGTTTAAAATTTTGCAAAAACTATTGGATGAATCGGTCTGAAATTTTAATCACATATTAAGGACTATAAAAGCCAGCTATTTATGCAATATCAAAGTCGAAGGTTGACTTTTGCAAAACTTATTGTTTATTTAGTAATAATCGAATTTTGACAGTATTTTGCAATTTCCCGAGCAACAAATTATCGTATCGGATTTTAAAAACCGCCATTTTAAAGGTTTTTTTATTCCCTACAAGTTGGTTATATTCACATTATAATAAAAATTATCGTTTTTTTCTGGTAGGCAAAAAAGTGATATTTTGGGTTATTTTAGACCTTTTATTGTTAATTATTAAAAAACCTCACCTGATGGTGTTTTGCACATATTATACTAAAATTCACCCAAATTTTATGAAAAACTTTACAGATCCTTGGCTACTCAACAGTCACGGCATTTTCCTCATATTCCTAGGCTAAAAATCGATGTCGATTAGAGTCTTAGTTTCGGAGATATAAGCGAAAAACTGAAAAAAGAACAATTTTTTTTTCTTTTGTTATAAACAATATGACGCTCGACCCCTACAAATACACAAATTTAGGCTTCTATTCTTAATTTTAAGCCCATAAAATTCGATTGAAAAAAAAACTAATTCGCCCAGACTAAAAAGGAAGGGTAGAGATTAACACTCAGGTGTTTTAGGCCTTCCCTGGAAATGTACAGTGAAAGTGGTAACTTGACAGGGAGTAGTTTTGTTGACAGGCTGTTGCAAGCTGAGGAAATAGGAACAAATGAGGGACAATGCTCTGAAGAATATTCGGAATGTTTTTTTTCACTTGTAGATATTTTAACCAATAAATATATCATTTATAAATAGATTGGATTTTTTTTATATTCATTATTTGGTGGAATTTAAAAATAATCGTTCACAATTTTCATCAGTTCCTAGAAAAGTTAAAAAGATGCTCCTCAGGTTCATTTCTCAGAATTTCCAAGGCAAGACTCAGTAATATGTATACGCTAAAAACAAAACAATTTACCTACGCGCGAATTTGGAGAAGAACAATATAAGCTTGAATTAAATCTATATCGTTTGCAGGATTTTAAGTCGTACTTACGTGACCCTAATCTGTACTGCTCACATGATCTATCAGAAGAGACCTAACATCACATTCGAAAGACAAATCTCAAATGTGGGTGAAGTGTGGTAAAATTATTGTAATATATTCACTGTTACAATTTACCATCAACCAAATATTTACATACCACTCTAATTCCTACTCACATATTTGCCAAAAGTTTTAACGCTTTTTTCTTACAAAATTTAAACAACCAACAGTTTGCTACGCCAGACCCAAATTGCCACCAAGATGATTACGGCAAAGCATCTAATTTTTTTAAGTATATCCTTGCTGTCGTGCAAGTCTGATCGCCACGCCATTTCGAAAAGGTCTCTACTGTTCCCAAGAAACGGAGTGGTACAGGTGCGTGTTTCTATGTGTCTAATAATAATAAGCCATACCTTCCCTCCCACGCGTCAATATCTGTACTGGTTTTAGTTCACTTACGGGTTAACTGTGCCGTTAGTTCTGCCAAGGAGATCCATCAATTTCAGCGCTTGCGCCCAAAGCAACTACAACATGCCTACCAACATTTCACGGTTGCAACCGATGACGATCCCCGCTAGACAGGACAACAGTTTTTTTACCATCAGCAGGATGAAATTTTACGAATACGTCGTAGAATACTTAGAGAGGTATTGTTAAAGTAAAGGAACAGTGGACCAGAACATTTTTTTTTACAATTTCAGCTTTGGCTTGGAAGGGGAAGAGTGTCTACTACGATCCATATGCGAGATAGCAGAAACTCCAATGCATATAAAAGACGAAGACACCCTGCTCGAAAAAATAGTGCACTTCGTTTTCACGTGAGTAAAAAAAATTGAAATAAAACAGACACGTTTATTTTACTGCTTTATTTTTAGTCCGTCATTGGAAATTCATAGTGAAATCCAGGACTTGACTAAGCAGGAGGATTTAGGACTCATGGACAAACTACTCCTGGCAGAAAAAAATGGAAAAACTGAAGGACAATGCGATGAAACTTATTCCGATTGTTTGGTTTCTATTGTAGACACGTTTTCAACTAAATACATCATATAAACAACTGAGTTTGTTGTTATTTACTAAAACAGTTATACTTAATTCGTGTTAAATTGAAACAGGATGACCAGGTACGTGGTAACAGCTGCAGTCACCTAAAACATACATTAGTTTACATCAATTTATTTTTAAATCATCAAAACTCACCGATGTTATCAAAGACCTGTCGATTTTGAAGAAACCACAGGGCGAAAATTTAATTTTGCAGTAATTCAGTTGCATGGAGAATATTATCAACTAAAACAATACAATTTTGAACAAAATCAACCTTTAAACTCCAAAATACGTACCGAATTTCTAACGTTTTCATCGAAATCTTTGGTTAGTAGTTCGCAAAGCAGCATTGACGTCCTGCGGTGCTAAAAATCGATCAAAATGGATATATTTCCTGATTTTTTTTGTACCTCAGCTAACTACGATGTGTACTATTATGTTTGAATGGCTTTTATACAGTGTGATTCATTAATAATGGGACAGAGCTTAAGGGCATGTTGCTGACCTCAAAATAGAGCGATTAAGCCAAATATGCCTTATCCGAATGTTTCTCCTTTTCGATCTACAGGGTGTTAAAGTTGAAAAAATATTTTCGATTTTTTAAAATATCTTGAGCATCTTTGAACGGATTGTCTTGAAAGTTTGTACACCTATGTTTTCTGAGGTGGCAATTACGGAAATGGTAACTATTTTGCAATCACATCTAGGATGCGCTAGTTGTAGTGTTCCGTCGGAGTAAACATATGTCAAACTTTTTTGTCCTTCAAAAATCTGAATTTCCAATAAGAAATTATTAAACTACGTTCAATTCTAAATAAAAAAGATATACCTGTTAAAAATCGATAAACTTAACCGTTTTCGAAATAAGAACGATTTACTATTTCTTTACAAAATTATTTGTTTGAACGTACGCCTTTAAATAAGATGACTTAAATGAAGTAGGCCGCTGTCAATGAAATGTCATGTATTATTTATGTCAATTCTAAGCAACTTATAAATACTAGACAGTTTAGTTCTTCTTCGTTTGTGATTTTTTTCATTAAAATGCCGCGTCATAATGATTATTCGTTTGTTGAAATGAGAAACATGGTATGTGTGTATGCCCAAGAAAATTATTGTGGTCGTCATGCAGCAGCGAGGTACTTGGAGTTATATCCAAATAACAGACAACCTAACCACAAGCTTTTCAAGACGTTGTACGACAGATTAGGAGAAACGGGATCATTTCGCCCTAAACGAGACGTTGGAAGGCCTAAAGTATTAGCGGCGGAGCAAGAAGAGGATGTTTTAGTGCGAATTGCCGAAAACACGCAAACAAGCACACGCCGAATTTCATCAGCTACTGGTGTAAGTCAGCCTTCCGTCTTCAGAATACTCCACAAAGAAAAATTGTATCCTTACCATTTTCGTCCGGTTCAACAGTTGATGCCACAAGATTCTCCTGGTAGATTTCGGTTCGCACAGTTTCTTCGTCGGCAACAAAATGCTGACCCTACATTTTATAATAAAATATTGTTTACGGACGAAGCTACATTTACCCGGCGCGGTGTATTTAATTGGAGAAATAGCCATTCCTGGGAACTGGAAAATCCTCACTTGCCACGAGAACAACATTTTCAGAATGAATTCTCAATAAATATTTGGTGTGGAATACTTTCCGATAACATTTTGGGACCATTTGTGTTACCCCGTCCACTTAATGGGGAAAATTATTTAAATTTTTTAACAAATGACTTACCACTCGTTCTTGAAAATATTCCCTTAAATTTACGGCAAACCTTTTGGTTTATGCATGATGGTGCTCCCGCACATTACTCCCAACCAGTAAGAGAATATCTTGATATAAATTTTCGAAACCGTTGGATTGGTCGCGGCAGCGAAGTGCCTTGGCCTGCGCGTAGCCCTGATTTAAATCCCCTAGATTTTTATGTATGGGGTAACGTTAAATCTTTAGTTTATAAAGATGTTATACATACTCGAGAAGAGCTGTGGGCAAAAATACAAGAATCTGTTAACATTATCAGAGACCAACAAAGAAGTCTATTCAGTGTCAGACAAAATTTTAACGAGAGAATAAAAAAATGTATTGAAAACAATGGTCGCCACTTTGAGAATCTTTTGTAATTAGACTTAAGCATAATAAAATTTTCAGTTGTTACTGTGTTTGTCTTAATTCGTAATTAAGTCAACTTATTTAAAGGCGTACGTTCAAACAAATTTTGTAAAGAAATAGTAAATCGTTCTTATTTCGAAAACGGTAAAGTTTATCGATTTTTAACAGGTATATCTTTTTTATTTAGAATTGAACGTAGTTTAATTTCTTATTGGAAATTCAGATTTTTGAAGGACAAAAAAGTTTGACATATGTTTACTCCCACGGAACACTACAATTAGCGCATCCTAGATGCGATTGCAAAATAATTACCATTTCCGTAATTACCACCTCAGAAAACATAGGTGTACAAACTTTCAAGACAATCCGTTCAAAGATGCTCAAGACATTTAAAAAAATCGAAAATATTTTTTCAACTTTAACACCCTGTAGATTGAAAAGGAGCAACATTCGGCTTAATCGCTCTATTTTGAAGTCAGCAACATGCCCTTAAGCTCTGTCCCATTATTAATGAATCACCCTGTATATGTTGTTATAAATATGTTATAATGTTGATTATTTGAGTTATTTGGGTTATTTGGGCGCCTTTATAAGATTGTGCTATTTTGAAAATTTTTCTTACTGTTGATGAGATTCAAACTCAGAGTGAGGGTTCCCTTTTTGATCTAATTTGGTTACACTGATTTTTAAATGAAAGATATTTTATATTGACAAATATCGATATATTACAATATTGAGTTATTGGTTGTAGTTTTTATAATTGACAACTTTTATATTTTCTAAAACTAGATAAATAAAGACAAGAAATTTCCCCCCTTATGTCTACTGTTACAGTACAAAGTTATATTTTATACTGTAAACATGTAAGTACTTAACAATGAAATTGTGCTTTTAGTATACATATATGCAGTGAAATTTTAATATTGGAATTATATAGCACTTTTAATTCAAATTTGCAAATTTGGGTTGGCCAGGTGTGTCGACAACTTACGAAATGTAAAAATTATATTTCTGGTTGTCTATCCTACATGGGATCGACTTGAATTGCCTCGTTGATAATCGCAACGCCACGATGATATCCGAAGATGATTTCACCCGGGATCCTTCCAGATGTAAACACTGCACTTATTTTTATCGGGTTGCACTTTTTCACTTTTATTTATTTTTAATTTAAACCAGTTCAAATTTATTGTTTCAATTTTTCTTTGTTCGATAAATTTTCGGACTTGATACTTCAGCAAAAGTGTATTTCGAACTTTTGACAATTGTATCTGTATCTATTGTATTGATTTTTATCGATTGCAATTGTTTATTTTAGGAGCAGACTAGCGATGTTACTACTTCAGGAATATATGAAAGACTGGCTACTCCGAGCCCGGATATTACTTTTATTAACCGTTAAAAACAAATGAATGTTTCCATGGAAATTTTATTTTTGCAAATATTGACTTTTACCATGTTATATGATGCATTTATATTTTAAATTCCTTGAATTTATTTGCATCTTTTGATACCAATTGCATGTTTCTAGGTTAACTCTTTGATCATGACAAAATTTTACTTATTTTTGCAAGTTTTAACTAAATTTCGATATACCTACAGCTTAATTCTCTGCATGTCTGTCCGTTTAAAGTCTTTAGTACTACCTGCCCCTTTTTCACGTTTTACACAATCTTTACTTGTTTTTTGAGAGTAAACGAATAAAAATTTCTAGGTTCCTCGATTCAACGAGAACTTTTAAAGTCTACACAAAAATTTAAACTTTGGTTGGAGTCATACACTCTGCACATATTATTTTGCAGTACTTCTACACTTATACAACAAAAATTTTACAAATTCTAACGGAACAACAAATGTCAACATTTAAATGATACATGAAACTTTTCACAGATACTCAGGTTTAATTCCGCACATAAATTCTGGTCACAGGTATACTATACTTTGTTTATATACCAGGTTTATTGCATGCAACGTTTTTATATGTGAAAAACCTTCATCGTCCGTCGATGATTTGTCAAAATTCTACAATTTTTTTAAATGTGCTCATGCCTGAAACTTTAAATGATGTAACATTGTAAAATGGTTATTTATTATTCTTTCTAACACTGTTGTTATACATGAGTACATTTTAATAGTTTCTTGAATATGCAAATTCAAGTTTTGTCACAATTTTGACAGTATAGATGTTTTATCCTGAATAATTATATCATTTCAAACTTATTCCATTAATAAAATATCCTTCATTTAACTCATTTCTGTAGTCCACACCCTTTTTGTGTCTAATTAGACTATATATTGAAATATTTGTATTTATTTGACATTTTTGTGATTCGATTGCCGAGAATGGAAACTAATTGAGTTTTCAAATCAATAAAACATAACAGTACTTTCTCTTAATAACCAGAAAGCACAACGTACCTCATCTAAACACAGCTGGCACGGTTCCACGATGATGAGTAGCCTTCCAATATGAGCCAAAAGCCAAGCTGCTTGCAGATAGGTGAACATTACATTCCCATTCGGTTTTATTATCTCGGCAAGCAGGAAATACGGGGTGACTATCAAGTGTAGCAGACAACTTAAAGTGATCAACTATGACAAGAACAAAAGTAAGGAAAGGTCGTTTGCTTTCCAAATCCACTTACGTGTATCCCAAAAGCTCCATCATTGTTGAGAACCTGTACAGCGATAGAAATTCTCTCTTGAAATGTTGCCAGGACAGTTATTCTTTCAACTAGAACACAATTAGAGGTGTTCCTACAACCACTTAAACGTCTAAACTTACCTAAGCTCATATTCTCAAAATTCTTCTTCTTGTAACTCTCCTTGCAGACCTCGATGTTTTCCAGAGCACCACCGACCACTACCTGCCTTCCACCAGTTTGTACAGGAATCTTCTTGCGCCTATCCTCTTTCCCTATACTGTGCAAGTATCTATTCAGGGCAGAGATTCTGATCTTAATGAAGAGAACGAGGTGCCAATAGAATATTTCGTGGATCACAACTATCAAGTATAAAACGTAGAAGGTGGTATAGTTCCTGAAAAACGAAGTGGCATCTTTCATTCTTTTAGTCGTTGAGTTTGTCCAGACTACAATGTCGAAAGTAAAAAGTAAAACAGCTACCACAAAAGTCGTTGCCATGAAGAACAGTGAAGATTGTCGGAACTGGCTCTGCTTTGTCAAAGGAATTATGGAATCGGTCTAAAAGTATGAGACTTTCAGTAGTTACAGCATGGATATTGGCAAGGTTGTACCTGGTTTAGATAGTGTAACAGTTTCCACAGCTTCCTCATTTTCTGGGGAATAGTTACGGCGCTAAAAAATACAATTATAATGACGATGGATATGTCGCAAGAAGTGACGTATCTGGCTTTTTGGTCCACCATCCGTACTGAGTGGTTTGTGTCCTTTTCCAGGTCGTTTACTATACCCAAGACGGTAGCTACGGCTAGAATTAAATGTAAACGTAAAACTATAAACACGAGAAAATATATTTACTGAGAAAGATGGTCAGCACGTAGCTGTAGATGCTGTATACCAAAGACATTTTCAGTTTGAAATGGCCGCCGTGTTTGTCATAACGAACTGGGAGGATGCCTAGGAATCTGGCGACCAGAATTATGGGTTGAAGAAGCTCAAAATTCTCTTGAGATATGTTTATGTCCTGCAGATCCATCCTATAGCAGTGAAAATACATTGAAATTTCCAATTTGTTATGGTGACAATTTTTTCAATTTCTTTAATAACTCCATTATTATTTGACCGATTGTAACGAGATTCGATATAGGTAGTTGGATTATTATTGACGTAGAACAAAATAATGTAATCCGTTTGAGTTATAAATTTAAATTTGTATTCTGTACTTTTCATGCGACATATGTTATCCGTAGTATTTTTGCCTGCTGATTACGAATCCGGTGTCAGAATTGAACTATCGCATCACAGGAATTTCCTAACCTCAAAAACCAAATCAAATACAGCAAAAATTCAGGAAAAAGTACAATACAAAAATTTTTTTTCCATATTCAAATGTTCATTTATATGGTTATTATTATTATTAGGAACCCGCCTAACGTGAATCCGAGGTCAAATTTGCAAAATTCAATTGATTAAGAAATGTCAAAAAATAAAACCTAATCTTTATTACATTAACCATAATGATCTGTGGGAGCAGATAAAATGTTATACACCACGAAGCAGTTAAGTATAATTTACCAGTCTCGGACTCTATTGCCAGCCCTCGCTCCGCTCGGGCGCAAAATCGTCCTCGACAGGTAAATAATACTTACCTCTTTTATGGTGTAAATAACTATATGTCCATCTATACATCACATTAATAAACTCATAGCAATGCTTTAAATTTAATATTTATCAGTTATACAATTCCATTCCTACTAAATTCGAATTATTTTCTTTGTCAAAGTTATTGTATTTTCAAATCAGTTATAAATTTTGTAACAATTTTTGTTATTTGATTGGACGATATTGTTTTCTTTTTGTGTTAATTACCTGATCTAGATTTTTGTAGCAATTAACAAGGAATAAGCGGTAGAACGCAATTACCTGAACTTCGCCTTGTGGTTTTTATATATTTCCCATCATTTTAATGTTTTTTGTTATTGTTTTGAAACACTTTCGACAGGATCGCAAATAAAAGTCACTTCGTTATAATCGAGACAAAAAAATGGACCGTAAATTGTGAACATGCACAGGTAAAAAGACTTACCCCTGATTTTTGGACTTCCAAATTGTTTCCAAACGCATTTTCAGAGCAAAACAACAGTATACTACAATTCCAAACAAGTAAACACATAGATTTCGATTCATATCTCGTCTATTACACGAACAAATACATTAAGTTGGCTATGAAATGGTGTCATATTTTTCAAAACGGTAAACAGGAAAATCCATATACAGCAAAACATTTTAATAACAGCTTGTCTTTTCGATTTACGTCAAAATATGTTTTGCCCCTGTGATTGAATGAAAATATAGATTTATTGTCCGGAAATTGTTTCATTAATAGGGGCGATCGAAGTTGTTACGACGAAAAACAAGTGCTCTGTGAGGGCCAATGGCTTTTATTTGTATTTAAGGAGGTATATCGGGGTCCGAGGGAAGTGAGGAGCGCAGGGGGGATCCTATGCTTTTCTTATGGGACTAACCCGCTGCCAATTTGAAAAAACTAAATTCTATTGAAATTATTTGCAATAAACATTTTCTAAGAAATCTACTCATATGCACATAGCATACATATTGACTAATTAACAACATAAAAATATCATATTTAAGTAGTTTTAAATTATATTTAATGAACGCATACAGACTATGTAGATGTGGCAACAGCGCTAATAATTGACTAGCAGTTGTACACACCGCGAACCTACAGACCTAGGACATCGGAGATATTGCGCGTCAAATTCGGGTAAAGATGCGTACGCGTTCAAAAATGTATTGTGTGTAAACTATGTACAATATAATTTTATTATATAGGTATAGCAAATATATCGTATTATCCTCGCGAAGATTTGTATCCTTTATTTAAAATCCGTAAATCATGTGAACTGGTAAAACAACGAGAATTATGTTAATTTAGTTCTACAGAAACACTCGCGCCCATCTCTCGTCCAAGTCAAAGAAAATGTTGGATGCAATTTTGAAGGTTCTGTGATAGAAATTGCATTATTACTCACTGTTCGTGTTTTTAATCTCTATTTGAGTAATGTTACAAAAGTTTTGCAACTATAACTAATTTCTTAGATATAAAGTTTGCTGAGAAATATTTATGTTCCTTTGTTATTCCGTATAAAGGCTTTTATCTCAAATATTAATAATTATATCAATCAAGTAAAGAAAACTTTATGTAACGCTAAATATTTCTGGGTAATGATTACAATGTTTTTTCTTCAAGCGTATAATAATACTTATATTATATAGTGCAACACCTCCTTTAGAAGCAGCCTATTGTTTAACTAGTACAAATATTTATCATTTTTTAACTAGCAAAAAAAATGTAACAATGTGTAGGTAAGTATCCTAGCAACGAATTAAAGATTCAAGAAGCTTTGACGTTTCATTAAGTGTCAGTTGAAATTTGATGTCGCGTCGGGTCGTTTTTAAAATGTCTGAAGAAATGCAGTGCACACCACCAGAGTTACTGGAAATTGCAAATACATCAGTGGCAACACTTATACCAACAAAGTCGAGAAAAATTTATGAAAATGCTTATGATAAATTCATAAATTGGGCAAAAGAAAATAATGCACATATTTATTCAGAAAATGTGATGATAGCATATTTTACAAGATTATCCAGAACACTGAAAAGTTCAACTTTATGGGCGCAATATTCAATGGTAAAATCTAAATTAAACATAGAACACAATGTAAATATTGAGAAATATTCAAAATTAATTACATTTTTGAAACGACAAGGTGAAAATTATAAACCAAAAAAGTCGAAAGTTTTGTCTAAAAAAGAATTTGACGAATTCCTGAATAAAGCACCTGATGATAAATATTTAGCAACCAAGGTATGCACTTCTTAAATTATAGGGAGATATATATGTAACCTTTTTATATTTGTAATAAAAAATTTTGTTATAATTTGTAAACTTCAAGTTATTTTATAGTATCCATTACGAGAATAATAAACAATTTTCGGAAATAAAGATAGCGCATTGGAAGAATGTTGTAAAAACTCATAAATATAGATGTCTTAAAATTACGTCATGTTTTAGAATTTCCTTGCATTTTCCAACTTTTTTTATTGTTACAAAATTAATAATTCTATATTTTTTAGGTTGCACTAATATTTGGAGTCACAGGAGCTTGTAGATGCGATGAACTCATTCAAGTAAAAGTTAATGATGTAAAAGATTTGGGAAATATAATATTAGTAAATATTCCCAATACAAAAACTAAAAAACATCGTTCATTTACCATAATTGGAGAGTTTTATTTAAATTTATACAGAAAATATGCTACTCTTCGGCCAAAAGACATAACTTTTGATAGATTTTTTATTAAATATCAAAATGGCATCAAAATCAAATCAAAATGGTATCAAAACTGAGAACCTTATTACAAGTAACGTATTCAACGACAGAACTGTAAACTTTGAAAAAAAGACAGCCAGCAGCGCTTTAAATATCAACAACTGTACTATACAAAATTGCACATTTAATATTCATGTTAATAAATACAGTTTGATGATAGACATGTAGATAATTTAGATGTTTATTCGTTTAATTCAAATTAAAGAAAAATAATTGTTACATTTGTTTTTTTATTCATGAATAAAGTGGTTAAAACTGTCATGTTTAATTAATCAATAAAATGTATAAAATGTATAAAATAAATAGTATTACCTACCTACTGATTTTATTTTGTGCTGCGATTGAACATCGCGTTATCCGCTATAAAATTTCAAAATTAGTAATTTTTTATATTCACGCTTGAAGAAAAAATAGTATATGTCACTCGGAGTGGAAGGCTCATTATGTGTTTTGCCCAATTTGCTCAGCCTCGGCTAACGCCTCGGCGAGCAAACTTTTGGGCTCAACACATAATGATCGCCTTCTACTCCTAGTAACATAATATACTATTTATAAACTATTAAATATATTACAAGGATTTATCAACTGTATTTTTTATTCCAATAAATATATCACAGCTTCCTAGTCTTTTTTAATTAATCTAGTTTTTTAAAACATTACAAAAAATCATCTGTTGTGGATAATTTATTGCTGATAACAATGTACATGAGATTTAGGAAAAATGTATATGTTTGAAATCAATTTCGTTTTTATCAAGTCTTTCAAATGTATTCCCTCCTTGCTGTCAGCTTATTGCGACGTCGCCACATTAACCCTCAAGTGAGACAGAAATACAATTTTTGGTTTCTGTTTCTAATTAATACAGCTGTACTATGTTCAAAACTTACATTAGTTTTACATCAAAAATAAGATAATACTGTGTACTATCTATGGAAAAGTTTTGTTCCACAATGTCTACATTTTTTTCTCAGTTATGGGCAAAAAAGAGCCGCACCGTCCATCTTCGCCAGATAAACCTGTGTTAAAATAAACAACTTTCAACAATAATATCTCAAAATCTAGATTTAAAAAAAATTCAAAAAAATATGACGCACAGAGGGAGCACTGGCTAATACGCTATATAAATTTCAACTACATCTGTGCATTTGAGTAAACTCGATATACCTCTTTAAGGTCTATATCTTGGGTTGTCGTAAATTATTATTTAAATAAAAATCTGACACAATACACGACATGGTCAGTTAGATAAATGGACAGATGGTGTTCAGTTTCACAATTCGAATAGTACAAGAAAAGGCTATTAACGAATTTTGTGTGCGTGTTAGGAAAGATGTACGTCTGGGGAGGCCTTAGGGTGCCTTTAAACGCTTGTCGACTACGATGAAATGAAACTTTATAATTTTTTTATTACTTGGATCGATTACTTTTTTCTACACACGACAGTCTTCATACTGTTAAAAAAAAGGGGACAAACTAATTTTGTTAAAAATATTGTACCCACTGCTACCCCACTGGATATGTCAAGGAAATAAATATTATTTTTTAAATATATCCTGCCCTCAAAATCATTAATTGTCCACGGTAATTGTATTGTGTTATAGTTATACATACGAGTATAT